ATCAAATGAAAGAATGAGTAAGCAAATATTCTTTTATATATATTATATTTTAAAAATAATAATGAAATACTTAAAAAATACTATTACGTAAATATACTTCATTATACATTTGCAAGGGTATTATAATTTTAGCCAGAAGCTTGCAATTCCATGAAGGAGTCATTTCCGACCCTATAAATCATACATATTCTTGATCAGCATCAAAAGCCGAGTGGATCTAGGTATCTCCGGCAGTAAAATACAATTTTTAATTTTTTTCATATTTTTAAAAGGGGTTACATCGTTAAAATGTTAAAAAAAAATATCTCAAAATTTTATTTTTGGAAACTTTAAATTAAAGTATGCAGATTTATAAACCACATAAAAACTAGAATAGAAAAGCTTTCCGAAATAAAATTCATGCATTTTTGGCTTAGTTATGAGTTTTTAAAATTTTGATATGTCGACAAAATTGTCTTTTAAAAATATTGATTTAAAAATGTGATTATTTTAAGCTTAGTTATGTTCGTGATTTGATTTGATCCTTCAATAAAATTTCAAACTGCAAGGGTATAAAAACTTCAGCTTCCCAAAGCTATTTTCCTTTCTTATTTGATTTAAATAAAACTATAAATATTTAAATAAAAATATATTTCATTCAAACTTAAAATTTATTGTATTAATATTAATCTTTTGCAAACCATAACAAATTACCGTGCAAGTCTCAAGGTGGTTACTATCTGTAGTATTTTATTATAAATATAAATACATTTTTAATGTACATATTTAAACATTAATATATAATATATAAAATATATATAATAATATATATATCATATATATTACAAAAATTATATATAATATTATCTGATATTTATTATTATATATTATATTATCTTATATATTATAAAAAGCAGTAGCCTTTCTTGTTCAAAAAATATATATAGCAGGCATTTCATTGAAATCAAAATACTGACCTTTGCTTTTTAAATCAACTAATTGAAAATTCTGTCACCAAAAAATTGTTTCGAGTGCATTTGAACCATCAAGTGGCATCAACGTTGCGATGATTTCTGCTTGTTAACATGGCTACCGTAGGAGTTCCGTGTTCCCCTCTCATTCCTTTTCCAATTCGGTTCAGTTTGGTTTTGGCTTGCCTTGGTTTTCCTGTGTCTTTCGAGTTGGGAATTCTGAAAATTTAACTCGCTTTTTTGGGAAACAGAGTGGGGGAGGTGGAACGGAACTGGGGTACTGCCATAATTCCTCGTCGACATGTCAACAGAGAGTGCCGCCCCTTCATAGCCAAAAATGGAAACGGGGATTGGCTGCCAAAAACAGTTTCCACACCGATGCGACAGACTCTCGGCAAACGGACAGGAATCCAGGACTCACGGACAGAGTTACAAGCGGATGGATGGACGGACAGAAGGACGGAGCGATGTGTTAGTTCATTTTGATTGCTAATTGTTTTGTTAAACAATGGCTTTCAGAGGGGGAGATATTTTAACGAATTCCCCCAAAAATGCAACGAGTCGAGAAGCCAAAAGAGGTTGGATTTTGACATCAACTTTGGTTTAAGAAAGTATATAATATATTTTAGTAAAAGATAGTAAAGATCACAGACAAAGTAACTTCGAGTTCTTTCCTTTCAAATACTTTTGTTAAAATATTTTTTAAAGAATATTTATTTTGGGTTAAAAAGGTATGTATAAAGGTATGACAAAGTAACTTCTAGTTCTTTCCTTTTAAATTCTTTTGTTAATATATTTTTAGCAGAACTCTTCTCCTTTTCAAAACTCTTCAATTAACCCTCTCTCTCACTCTTATCCTTACTGTTTGCCTTCATCTCGAGTTAACTAATTTTCCACGAGCTGTTTCTCTGCTAACATTGACTGACCGCAAAAAGCCGGGAGGAAAAGCGGAAAACCTTAACTAGAATTACTCCCACAGCAAGCAGTTTTCAATTTCAATTTTTGCCAAGCTCAAAATGATGGCTATTAAAGCTTATAATAAAATATATAAAATAAATATAAAGATTAAGTTTTTTTTTGGAGAGAGAAAGGTGGAAAGCCATCACAATCACGCCTGACTTGTGGCCGCTTGATTTTCGCAAGCCTAATTGTTTGACGCTGGGCCAAAAGGGAAATCCCCGAACTGCCAGGTGAATGGCTGAATGTCGGGGAATGTCCTTGTTATCCTGCAACAAGTGAGACAACCGCATAATCCACAGCAACCACAGAGGCCACCACACTCGCCCGCACACACACACGCACGGGCGGTGCATTTATAAATTTGCAAAAGCACTGCAAAAACTCTGAAAAATATTGAAAAAGCGATCTCTACACAATTGTCCATAAAGTGGACACTTTTTGTGGCCTTCTTTTTCTGTATTTATTATTTCTCCTTCTCTTATTTGTTGTTGTTTCATTATTATTATTTTTTCAGTTGTTATTGCCGCGGGGGTGTCATTGTTTTTGCCCATGCGACCACAGTAAGGATTAAAGCGGACAGGGCCGTAACCGTTGTGACGTAACAATGTGGCTAACAAAAACAAATACACACCCGAAGGCCAGAAGCTTGATATTGACAACTTTTTAATCACTTAATAAATTCAATAAAATTAAATGCGGTTAAGCGTCAACAAGGACAATCAAACCCCTTTCATCCTTTCATCCTTGCCATCCGTCAATCAGGCGCTTCACAAAAATCCTTTTCGCCTGACAATGAACAAAAGACTTGGGACAAATGCCGCAGCAAGGATTCGAGGATACGCAAATATTGAAGAGACCTTTTTTTTGCTGTGTTTGTTAGGGATTTAAATATAGAAATTTTAGTAAATTTGTTTAAATAAATCTAAAATATAACTTTCCTGGGGAAGAACATAAGCACTTCGGCTTTCTTTTGCCTTTTCTCTGTTTCCTTTTTTTTGCATTTTTCAGGAGCTTCTCCCTTTGAAGGACATTTAATTAGCGTGAATTATTTTGTGCACAGCATTTTAATTTTGCAAATTAAGTGGCGCGGTACGAAAAATCATCGATGTTATGGTTATCTCCGGTCCCAGTCAACCTTAATTCTCGACATTTCAGAACAGAGGAGGGGAATGGAGCTGGAATCTCAGCTATTGGGGATTATGTCGAACCAGCGACTAATTGGCTGCGGAGATGGGGTGCAAAAGGCAGTCAGAGCTCGGCTCATTGGAGTTAATTTTATTTCCCTGCTGCCGTTGTCTTCCGTGTTTCTTTAAGCGCATTAGAACGATACGAAAAAAAATAAAAATACAGAAAAAGAAAATATACCCAGAGCAGTCTGGGGTTCCAGGTTAACCGCGAAGGCCTCTAACTTCCACTCGAATTTCAGATTTATCACTCAGAGGGTCTGAGTGTTGGGTGTAGTGACAACTAACAAATTGCCAACATTGGCATTTAAATTGTAATGCCTTTAAATGTGTTCCCCCCCGTTGAAATTTTTGATCAGACAATTGACTTTGCTTGCGTGACACTTTGGATTTGGCGATTTTGCGGCACAGGATTTGGATTTTGTTTAACATCCCATACCTCCTGTATATTCTGCACCTTTTGCACCTCCTGAATCTATTCTATGCCACCTACACCACCCATTCATGGCCACATGCAATCAGCGCTGACCAATGCATTTCATTAGCACCAAATTAAGCAAAAATCATCCCAAAAAAAAGGTCACCAAAATGGTCAAAATATAGACTTTACAAAGAGTCGACTGTGGTTTCACCTAAGTAAAGAGTTTACTTTAAGATTAATTAGTCTTTTTCTACAGCATTATTTGTTAAATAATTAATATGCCACATTTGGTATATTAATTAAATAAAGAGTCATATATATTCCATCAGTTTTACCTATAAAATATTGTTATTTTTAAAGAACTCTTAAAAGTATCTACCTAACCTATTACTTTCAATTAACTACCTTCATTCCAGAGCATTTTTGTTTATAATTCTTAAATTAATGCTGCAGTTTTGAATTAAAATAAGTCTTTTAATGCCCTGTAAATTCACCTAGTTCATCACACTCATTCTAGAGGGTATGCCCCCTTCAAAGGCAATTGCAATTCATCCATTTGCAAGTACACAAAAACAAAAACAAAACAAAAAAACAAATAAAAGAAGAAATAAATAAATAAATAAGAAGAACAACAAAAAACCGAAACGAAACTCGCCTCATTTCGTTTGTAATTTGTTGGTACAACAGTTCTTTCACCTCGCGGAAAATCTCCCCTCCTCCACCCCATTCCCGGCTCTTTGTAATTTCTGGCCAACCATTTTCCATTGGCATTGCATTGGCCATTTTTATATTTTCGGTTCATTTCGCTGGCCCCACCTCCACCTCCTGATTTTCCACTCCCCCATCACCATTTTCTTGTTTGTTTTCTTTTTTTGTTTTTCACTGGCGATTCGATTCGTTTCGTTTCGCGTGGCGCGGTTTCGTGTATCTTTGTATCTCAACCCCCGTCCACCGGTGTATCTGTGCGCTATGTATCTTTGTATCGGTATAGGCATTTTTCGTACCGACTCTCACCGAAACCGCCGGCAATCACACACAAGCAACCTCAAAAGCGCCAACAAAAACCAGATACATCGGACAATAAAAAGCAACAATTACAATGAACAAATGTACGAATATATCGAAAGCACGCAAAAATTATAGACAATGGTTTTCTCTATACCAACCTTAAGACAAACCTAAAGGATAGTACTTTTATAAATTCAAAAATTCAAGTGATTTGGAACACACATTGAAAACTGAAATTCAATGAGACATAGTAACCCATGAACTTAGAATCCAACTAAATGTTACATTACCAGCAACACAATCCCTAAAGTTCATTCCTATCCGTTGTCTCAACAAGGAAACATCTCAAACTAAATAACAAATCCAAATATAAAACGAAAAACAAAGTGAAATTAAAAACACAGTAGAGTAGGTCGAACAAAAAGTGAACTCCTCCACTACAAGGTACTTTACAATATATTACTAAATACCATCAGAATGGAACAATTTGACATAGTGCGCGTGGAGGAGGCGATTACCGAATTCTATCGTTCGAACGGACATAGCCAAGAACTGGACAAATGGCTCACGGAGGTTAAGGCTAGTTCTCAGGTTTGGCAATTAACTTTTCTGCTTTTGCAGCCGGGCAAGAGCACCGATATTCAGTTCTTCGGTGCCACTGCTCTTCACTCTAAGCTGAGGAAGGATTGGGATGAGCTTTCGGTGAAAAGCCGGGGAGAACTTAGGCAAAAGATTCTCCAGTTGCTTGGGCTTTTTGCCGGAGGACCGAAAATCGTCCTGAATCGGCTATGTATGTCACTGGGAGCTTATCTAGTTCAGATGCAAGTTGAGAACCGTAATCCCGCACTTACTCCCATCGAGGAGGTGACCTACTCTTTCCAGAATGATAGAATCCCCAATTCTAGCCACGATGTGCAGATTGGGATTTTGTTGGAAATTTTGGGAGGCATTCCGGAGGAAGCCCATTCCATCGTTACCCGAAGATGGCGAAACGATGTGCATGAGTTGGTGGGTAAATCGGTATCATTTGTTCTTCAGACCGCTGAAAACTATCTGAAGACGAAGCAGCTTGACTCGGAGATAGGCAACCATGTAGACATTAACAGAGCAGTTGGATGCATCCGCAGATGGATTCAAAATTATGGCTATACCATTGAGGGCAGCGTAAACATTTCGCAAATTCTGCTGGAGTTGGTGCAAAAATGCTATTGGCCGCGCATGCGCGTCGGAGATGGCGTCATGGCCGCTGAGGAGATAGAACTGGCCGAATTGGCTTTAAGGACATTGTCCATAATAATCATTCAACCATGCAACTCTCCCCAGACGGCGATTGAACTAATTAAAATGTTCCTTGACTCCCTATCCGACATTGCTAAATCGGAATGGCAAGAAACCAAGAATGAGAAATTGGAAGCACTTATATACTCGTTATATATGACTTCCATAGAACAGCACTCATCATTGATAATCAATGGAATCACTGCCGATCCGGAGCTCTTTAGAGTTTTGAAGCGCATTATTGACGAACTTATGAAATGCACCGATAAACCAGGGACTTATCCCGACGGAGAGATATGCAGCATCAAGGCCCTACCATTTTGGCACCTACTACAGCATGAGGTATGTTCCATTCCTAGTAATAAAAAGAAACTCGAAAGTTTGGAGTTTATAAAACCGGTTTACGCTGGCCTCACAAGGGTTTTGGTGAGAAAAGCCGAGTATCCGAAGTCCTTCGAGCAATGGAATTCCGAAACACTAGACACTTTTACCATATATCGGCAGGACATTGCAAAGGCATTATCGTGCTGTTACAAAGTGTTGAAGGAAAACGCCCTTGAAATCCTGTCCGGAATGTTGAACGAGGCCAGTGCCGAAGTCAAAGTAAATCCAACAAATTGGACTGCTTTGGAAGTGTGCATTTTTAGTTTTATGTCTGTGGCCAAAGTTTGTGGGGGTGACTCGCTGAAAATACCCGAATTGATGCGCATAATGACTGAAATACCATTTGAGCATTGCAATGTCAAACTTCTGGCCACAGTTTTGGAGACTATTGGCGCCTATGGCCACTGGCTGAGGAAGAACCGATTGTACGTTCCGGAAGCGATCAATCTATTGATAGGGGGGCTCAGCTCTTCAGTGTCGATCGATGCTAATCTGGCCCTAAAGGAGTTCATCACTCATTGCGACAGAATTACGATAACTCCTGAGACCCTAATGGAAGCCTGCAGGTTCTGCCTTAACCCGGGATACATAAAAGAGTCCGACATGGAGAAGGTGATCTCCACCATAGGAACTGTGATGGGCATAATACCGATATATGATATTTACAAGAAGTTAGATTCTTTTCTCAATCCGTGGCTCGAAGAGTTGCAAGCCATTTGCCGGCACGTATTGAAAACCCCTTTAGCCCGTTCGAGGATATTGGTCCTCTATAAAATGATGTGTCCCCTATTTTTATCCTTGAAATGCATTGATGTTGGAGACAAAGACGACGATTACAATTTCTGTTTTCTGCTGTTGCTCGTTAGTCAGAAATTAATACAGCTTTGGTCTGATGATATGGAAGTCATTGAGACCGTTTGTACCACCTTGAGTCATTTGATCAGCTTCTTAAGCTGCATTGACGCGGAGTTTGAGCATATCTCTCGTTTAGTTCAAACTACCATTGAGATACGCTACTGTCCACCCGTCTTGGAGATGATAACGGCGGTCATTGTCACGTTCTATGAGGACGAGGTGACCCAGCCAGAAATGCAAGAGCTCTTGAGAGACTTTATCCAGCGGGGATTCATGGTTTTCGAGGCCACTCCGGTGGAGAACTACTCTAATATTTCGGATATTATAGGTGCGTTTTTTAAGTGTTTGTCGCAGATTATCCTACTTGTTCCACAAACCTTAACTCAAACAGAGCTGCCCTACAATCGTCTTGTTGCATATGCTTTGAAGGGCATGTCACTGCAGGAGGGTGTTGCCATACGTGGCAGTATTAATTTCCTAGTCAATCTTCTAAGCCAGGCCCGATGCTATGGGCATCTCGAACAGATCGTTCTGGGCTCCCTAGAAGAGATCTTCTCCACCTCAATAATGTGTATTGCTTCTTTTGTACCGCCTTCCGAAGTGGAAAATTTTGCGGGTCTCTTTTTCGCTTTGAATAAGCATTTTTCTAATGAGACTCTCAGCTTTGTGTTCGACGTGTTGAGTCAACCCGATTTCCCAAAGCCTCATATTACGCTGCATGAGAAGACCATATTAACAATGGTGTTGCTTAAGGAGACGAATAGCGAAGAAACTCTCCGGAAGTGTATTTGTAATATGGCTCTCAGAATGCGAGGACTCGCCGAACACTTGCAATGAATTGCAGTGAAGCTCTATCCATTTCGGCTCTTTTTACACTTTAAACACATTTTAGTTTAGTTTTCGTATATCCAAAATTTATTGTATTCATAGTTTCATTTTGGTAATTCATGCATCTTAGCTAGGTACATTGGTGTAGATGTAGAGACATATTCCCTATTTAGTTAGTTTTCGAATATTCAAAATTTATTGTGGTATTTCATAGTTGTCTCGTCAACGTACGCACGTTGCGCGACTAGGCCCCCCCGGGATAGGCGCGCGGTCGGCAAAAATCCTCCAGCTGAACCCTCCACGAGGGCGCCGACTGGACAATGGACACTGTATTATCCCGGGCAATGGGTAATGCTCTTGCTCCAGGATAATGCAGTGTCTAGCTAAGGCTTCGATTCCATTTCTTTAGCCCAAAACGCTGGAGAAAATGAATCATTAGCCATGGTTGGAGGTGCCTGGCGGTAGGCATAAAACGCAAGTGGGTGGTTCCCCTGAAATAAACCAGTTTTCTAGGGTATGTGGGATCCTCCAGCTCAACAAGGAGGTGGAGGATATCCGTTACAGGGGATATCCTTTATACGGGAAGATGGCGTGGGGCATAAATAGTTTCCACCTGCGTCTCAAGAAGCACCACCCCGGGGACAAGGACATGCACATCCTGCAGGGAGGTGAGGTGTAGAAGGACACCATCGGTAAGCAGCTTTGTACACATAAGGAAAGGTCTTTAAGCTAACCTTATGCCTCATTATAGCTCCAATGACCTGACTGCGGTGATCCTGGAGAGCAAAAAGAGGCACCTTCTGGCAGGAGAAGGAAATCAGGAACCCAATATAAACTACAAGAGGTGAGTTACTTTAGAATTTATACTTTCAACTATCTTGTATATAGAAAACATGGGGGAGGAACATACCTCTATAGGACCCACCTAATCCAAAGTCCTTGAGAGACCGTCCTTCTCAGTCCATAAGTACATACTGTCCCAAGAATACTAGTATATTTTATAGTTCTTATAAAGAAAAGTACCCATATTCACAATTCTTCTTTGAAAAAAAATCAGCAAATAAATCAGCTTTATAAGGAATTACTTTCTCGCCTTTTCTTTATACTTTTCCTTTTATTATTTTTGTGGTTCTGCAACTTTTATTATTTATTATCAAGAACATCTTCCTATAAACCCAAAATTATATATCTATAGCTATAAATAATCACCAAAAGAAACTCCACATTAAAATGGTAAACAAATATACAACAAAACACTGAGAAAAACACAACCACCATGGAAAACAAAAAGAAAATCCAACCAAATGAAACAACAGTCAACCATCGAATACCAAAAATAGTTTTGCACGCGCCGATTTTTAAACAAAAGCGGCGCCACCGATCCAAGCCCCATCCTGCCCCTCACTTTTTTCCCTTAAATACAAAAAAGCCACCAAACTCGGAACGCGGAAAAACATGGGAGAAAAGTGTAAAACACATTGTGAAAATGTAAATTTTCCATTGATTAAATGCGAAAATGCAAGTGGAACAAAAAGAGCAAAAAATAAATAAATAAAAGACAGAGGGGAAGAGCGAACTCTGGATGATGATGAGGTTTAACGAGAAGGGAAGTCATTACGATTACAACTATATATATATATATATAAATATAAATGTATATATATATATATATATATATATATTTTTGGTAAAATATTTGAGCAAATATTTGAGCAGAACTGTTGAAAATTCGAAATTTGCAGTTCCAATCGGATTCAGTCGAGAAGTCCTTCGATATTTGTTAAATTTTTGCATTGATGGGACATTTCCTATGACTTGTTTTTCAATTTAAATGTTAGTTAACAATTAATAATTATTATTATATACAAAATATATTAAATATTAATAGTTGTTATTAATAAAAGATATATAAATTTGTGTATAATTAAATATATAACAGTTCATAATTTTTAACCAAATAAAAGCGAGTCTTAAGTTTTGACTTTGATTTGATAAATAAAATTTTAAAATACAAATTAAATAAGCTATACAAATATTTCTGTTAAAAAGCTTGACTAAACTTTGTAAAAACAAAACTCTGTAACATTTTTTTTTTTAGGAAACATAATTTTAGGGAAAAAATAATCATAAATAAACCACAATTGATTAAATTTAATTTGTTCTTTTTAAATTCTTAATTACAGAAGATTTATATTTTATCTTTTAAATACTTTCTCCATCCACAGGAAAACCCTTCGGCCACCCTAACCAATTGAAGGCAAGGTCGCCTGGCAGGAGGTGGATGCCTACTTATATCATTGTACAGATATATCTTTATATATAATATATATGTATATATATAATCCAGCAATGACCTTGATGGCCCACACACACACACACACACACACACACACACACAATTTGACCAAGGTGTTGACCAGCAAAAGAAGATAACTCAATGGCAATGCACTCGACGACTGTGCGGTTAATGGCCTCGACAAATTTCACTGCGGTTTTTCAACTTCAACGACATGGTGTGTCCTTTCCACATCCGTATCCCTATCACTGCATATGTATCTGCAGCTGTAGATGTAGATGTATTTGTATCTGCATTCGTGTCCTGGTGCTGTTGCTTGGTGGCAACAAAATCGAGTTAGTTATGCCAATTAATGCGACAATTGTCGGAAAAGTGAACTCCTGCCGATCCGAACGATGTCCCCTAATCACCAATAATCCGCATTAATTGCCATCAATTTGGGCTTGGCCATGTCCCTGTCTATGGTCCATGTCCTGCGGTCAGCAGATGTCCTTCGATTTTGAGGGGCCACCAATGGAGAAAAAGGTTTTAGCTCTCGCAAATTGATGCAATGCAAATGATTTTAGAAACTCAAAATTAACAAATTGATGTATAGTTTGGAAGAAGCAAGCATTCGTTAATATTACAAATAAATTAAAAATAAAGAAAAGTTTTCAAGTCATAAATGAAGCTTTGTTTTTATTATTTATTATCTTATTCGACCTTAACTTTGAATTGATAAATATATAGAGATACGCATAACTTTTGATTCACAAAATAAAGCCGACAGACACTTGGATTTTTCCCCCCAGCTGACAACCGCAAATACAAGTAGTTGTTATCGATAATACTTGAAAGATAAGTTAAAAGTGAAAATATTAATTTGTGATTGGTTTTCCCATCCAGCTCAACTTTGATTATTGTGGAATTTCTCAAAAAATTTTTAGTAATCGTTTAGTTGATGTCTGATTGATGTCTGTGGGTCTTTGTTCATTGATAATAATAGAAATATAAGTTCCAGGCACTAATTTGTAGGTTTTTAATTTAGAATTATATATTGAAAGTATTTGAGGGAGAAGTTTATAAACAATATATTTTGTGTGTTCTTTTAACAAAGTTGGATTGAAAAGAAGATATTTGTAATGGAATCTGAAACTAGAATAATAAAATATATATTATGGAAAGTAAATATAAAATAAATACTGATGAGGGAGAAGTGTATCTCTTAGGAAACAATATATTAGAAATTATGTATAGTATTTAAATAAAGTCAGATTAAAAAGAAGATTTTTTTTAAATAAAGATACAAAGTTACATTTAATTTCTGGAATATCCAAAAGATAATTAAATGATTTTCTGTTCTCAAAAAATGTAAACCAAGTTCCCAAGTTGTTTATAATACGCGTATTTACATACGCGCTGAAAATTATATTGAAAATATTTCTGAAACCCCAAAAAAATTTTTTTTTTTAAATAAAAACAACAGTTCAAAATTTTTTTGTAAATAATTTTTGTGTGTGATTTTTGTTTTTTTATTTGGTTTTGGTTCAAATTCGTTTTTTGTGTTAAAGATTTTTTGTTTTTGTTTTGTTTTTTGTTTTGTTTTTTTCTTTTCGCGCTAAAACTTACAGCTAGACAAAAAAATTGATTTCTCACTTAAGGGACTAGTTAAACTTATAAATTACAAATAGCTAAATTCGCATATATATATTATCCACAAAAAAAAAAAATGTTCAAAAAAAAGAGAGTGTTACAATCTAGTTTTCTATATACAGAGTGTGTGTTTCTTTGTGTTTTGTGAAAATTATTAATATTACTTTTTTTTGGGAAATTGAACTAAAGTTTTTTCGCTTTCTTTGAAGATTTTCCCGGGGAAGATCCTGTGAAAATGTGAGACTCCTTTTTCGGGCTCGAACTCATCGCACGATTTTATGAATCGAGCATAAAACTTCGCCGGAGCTCGAAGTCCTTTTGGGGTTTTGTTTTGTTTTTTAGGGTTTTCCGCTGCCACTGATGCTGCTTTTCCTGCTTTTCCAAACGTTTTTCCTTCCAACTGATGATGAGGCTGCTCCGTTTGCCGGCCGGAGGCGTCTTTACTTAATACACTATATCACAATTTTCTTTTTTTTTTTTTTGTTTTCTTTGCTTTCTTGCTTGCTTGCCGCTCTGCGCCGCCGCTTTTCCAGTTTTGTATCACTTTTCTTTTGGGGGGTGGGGATGGGGTAGGGGATTTTCCGGTAACTCCCATTCTTGAAGTTTTTTTTAGTAGGGCCGCCACACGGTCTTCTGCTGGACAGCGGCACTCTTGAGCTTGGTGGCCGCCGGTATACAGGTGGTCTCCGGCGATGGCACCTCCGTGGCGCTGGTCTCATGGTAAATGGGTTTCATTGCCGACGGCGCTTTGAGATCACAACGCATACGGATCGGTGTGATCGGTGCAATATGATGTGCCGGTGAACTGCGTGTGGAATCAATACTCTTGTCCAGATCATATTCCGATTTAACCACATCGATTTGCTCATCATCGGAATCGGCATCGGAGGCGGATTGTTCATGAATGGAGCTCGTCTCAATGGAGGTGTTTAGCTTGAGGAGCACATGACTCTGATGGCTTTGCGTTGGCGATGAGCTCGAGGGCCTCGAGCTGGCCGGACTTGGCTGGGCAGCCTCCGTGGTCTGCATGGCATGGATGGGATGCAGTGCAGCATTACGCGCCCGGAGTCCGGCAGCAGCGGCAAAATTATACGGATGGAAGGCATGTGGTGTGGCCTTGGCCACATGATTGAACGGGAACTGGGGCATCGCATAGGCAGCCGCCGGAGCAGCTCCCGGTGGCGATGGCATCATGGCCGTTGGCTGACCCGCCGATGCAGCCGCCGCCGCTGCTGCTGCTGCAGCTGCCGCCGCCTGGGCATGGGCATATTCCGGGGCCAAAGATGACACGGAGGAGGCGGAGGTGGTGGAGGAGGAGGATGTGGAGGTATTGTTGGTGGCACCAATCGCTGAGGATTGTGTGGCTGCCACATTACTCTGCGAGTTGGGGGACACAGAGGCAGAGGCAGCAGCGGCCTTAACCAGCGCAGGATGATGAACCTGAGCCTGAGCCTGGGCAGCAGCCTGATGACGGAAATAATCCGCATAACCATAGGTCATGTATGCGGCATCCAGCCAGGCGGGATTCAGCATGAAGGGATTGAAGGCGCCGGGATGAGGATAGCCATAGCCTGGAACGGATCAAAAAAAATAGGGAAAATTTACAAATTAGTAAAGAAAAATTCAAATTGTAAAGGTTTTTCATTATAAAAGGGGAGTGGGGTGAAGGATAAAGTTTTTGGGTAATTTGTGTTTATTTTTCATCAAGTGAAAATATTGAAAATTCAACAAGAAATGTTTGAAATATCTCTGGGATATTTTGATATATAGAAAGCAAAACTTTCTGTAGGATTTTGATATTGAAAAGGTATAGTTTTAGTTATAATTTCTTGTGGTTATTGTGGGATTTCGGGTTTTTTGGGAATTTAAACTGAAAACATAATTGAAACTAAAAAACTCACTTTGCTTACTTCTTGGCTCCCGCGGCCCGTCGACCGTCACCTTGATGGCTTTGCTATAACTAGCGATCTGCACCGGATATGTGGCAATGGTGATCGTTAGCGTAAAGGATTTTCCCCGCCCAGAACGTCCCACGAAGCGTAGATCATTGAATTTGGCCACCTGATTCTTCATCGTTGTGGTGCAATTCCTCAGCTCGCCGCAGTAGTTCTCATCGTTGCCGCATTTAATGGAAACCAGAGTGCCATCGGGGACATCATCGAGAGCGATCACCTTGAAGGCACCCGGCAGTGATTTATTCGATCGCCAATGATTGGGCAAAGCACTGCAAAGGATCGATGGGGAGCCGGTTTGGGCCAATTCACCATGATATTCCTGCAACATCTCATGGAGGCTGGCAAACATATCTGTCATCGAGCTGGGCATCTTGGCATTGGGATTGGATGTCGAATTCGAGTTGGAGTTCGAGTTGGAGGAGGTCGAGGTGGAGTTATTGGTACTAAGATCCGGTGTGGAGCTTCCTGTGCTGCTGGCCGAATGTGCGCTTGTATTGTGCGCCGCATTAACGCTGGTGTGTGGTGTATTGGTGATGCTCGATCCGGTTACAGCATTTCCGGCGGAAATGGCTGCCGCTGCTGCTGCCGCTGCCGCTGCAGCGGCCAAAACTTGTGTGTTATTGGCCACCATTGTTGGACCCGCTGGCAGATGCATCCTTTTATCCGAATGTAATTGTAATCCTTGGCTATAATTTCACCCACACAGTTTTTTACACTTTTTGAGCACTTTTCTTCTTGGATAATTATTTTTTTTGCGGTGTATACACTTGGAAAAAATATATACGCGGCTGTGACCGTTCCCAAAAAAAAAATATTTCTTGATGTTTAATTTTTGGTGTGTGTTGTTCGGGAGTTTCGGAAGTTTTCAAAATTCGTTTTTATATATATAATATTTGTATATATATGTTTCTGCGTTCTCGACACGCTAAAGTCGCTGAGTGAACTGATTCTCTGCTGCGATCGCTGGCAGTATTTAAAGTGGACTGCGCTGCTGGATGGGCCGTCGCTGCCAGCGTCGCCGCCGACGTTGTATACCTTGCCCGCTTCCACCTACAGACCCGTCCCTTTCTCTCGCATTGTCCTGGGCGGTATTGGCTACCTACACACAAGCATACACACTTTTAAGGGTGCAGGTATATGTGTATATGTGTGTGTGTGTCGAGCAACCACCATTGCCGCCGCAACAACAACCACAGGAAAATTTCCCATTTTTCCATTGCGGTTCGTGGAGGGAGGGAAATACAGCGCAGAGAAACCAGAGAAACAGGAGAAAATACAAAAAAAAAAAAGAAAACGCAGAAAGGAAAAATAAAAATGCGCGACAGAGAGAGAGTCACTCTGTCTCTCCGGCTGGAAAGGCGCAGGCGGGGGCGCGCTGAAATAAATGAAAAAAAAAAATACAAATAAAATTGCACCAAAGAAAAACTCAAAAAGAAAAATCTCTCGTTTTCTCTCCTCGCTCGCTTGCTCTCTCTCTCTCTCTCTCTCTCACTCTAGTGACCGGCAACGGGCGGTCTGGAAAATGTGTGTGTTTTGGTGTTTTTCTTTTCGTCTTCACGCACGCCAAAAAGGAAAACGCACGGCCGTGCAACAGTTTCCCAGGTTTAACATTTCCCATTTCTCCCTTCCAATTCCAGCGGGGCGCGTGTTTCGGTGGCAGCAGGGGGGGGCGGCCTAGAGGTCCTGTCACAGGTAGGAGAGGTCCTGTCACTTAGAGGAAGATAGAGAGGGAGATACAGTTAGAGAGAGAGCGAGGTTCTGCCCCACACAGGGGGGCCGATGTCCTGCCGACATGAGGCATGAGGACTCAATTAGGCCACAGCGAAGGGATCCTGTCGGCGATCATCGGTGACAGGAATTGGTAGGGGAAATAAATCGGAATATTATTATATATTATAGCTGATTAAAAGATCCTTAAAAAATATAAATTAATCAAAGATTTGGTCTGGATCTAATTGTAAGAATAATCAGGGCTTTACGACATATTATTTTGCTTAATTCTGAAATGATCTTATTATTATTATAATTATATATCCTTCCTAATTTGAAGAGTTCCAATTTATATATATTATTTTGTGCTTATATCTTATAAATTAAATAATTTCTCAAATATTCGATGAGTAAAAACATAGGAAAGTATATTCCCCATATATCAATAAATTGTAAGGATTTTAAAAAGAACACATGAGATCCTTTAGGTGGGTTTTAAAAAGAAACTTATATAGCCCTTTAGTTAGTAGTTTTCTAATATGATAACCTTAATATTATTATTAAAACACATTTATTTAGATGGAATATTCTAATATTATTAAAAATACATATATACAAAAATGATCTTTATAATAAAAACCTTACATGGTAAATAAAATAAACCACATAATAATGAACGATACATTTCATCCAAAACTCGAGCTCATTCTTTATTTTTATAAAAGCAAAAGTAAAAATCCTTTGTTTCTGTAAATGTATCAAAATTATAATATATTCTCATGAGAGGAAACGTGAAATGTCTCAACATTATAATAAATATATATAAATTCTATTAAATGATCTTTATAAAACAAACAAAATAAAATACACTATCCAATAAAAAACGATAAATTATATAAATATAATTATATATATTATTATTATATTATATTACATAAATTTCACCCAGAACCCCAGTTCATTCTTTATTTTATTTGAAAAAGAAAAGTAAATGTCCTTTTGTTTCTGTAAATGTCTCACAAAATTAGTGTGTTATTCAAGGTAATCTGAAATCCCTGGCTGATCATATTACGACACACTGATACTGATCCCATTTAGCTATGTTCTAGCCCAATGTTTTCTACCAATCCCGCCCAAAAATTTTTGGCCTCATTGAAAACGATCTGGAAACTGATCCCAAAGGATCCTTTACTCCAGGATCTATGATCTATGATCGGAAAACTGCGATTTGGATCAATCCAACTAACACCCTTTGTCCGGAACCGAGTTTGTTTGGTATCTAAATTTCACTTCCCGGATCGCTTTAATCCTGATGCTAATCGGGGGCGATTATCCTGCGATTAGTGATGTAAATATTTGTGCGGCTTTTGTTTCTAGAGTGGCGCAATCCTTGAGTCTACAAATTCGCTGCCTGCCAAATGCCAGATCCTTGATTGGATCAGGTTTTGATCTAATCCGGAAGTGTGATACTCAGAAGAGTGTGCTGGTATTTTCTAAGCCTTAATTTAAGATGGAAAATTTAAGGCAACATTATTTAAATATATTTTATTTTCTAAACCCATTTAATATGCAATTTATATCCTCAGTGTATCTCAAAATCAAATGCCCGACAGGCCAAAAAATTGCGGCCCACCAAAACAACCTTAAAAACGAGGCCACAGGACCTTCTCTTATTTTTTTTTATTGTGCCCTTTTTCATGGGATCTGGGCTCGAAGTGTGGGGCATTTTCCAGGGAGGGAAGGAGGGGATAGACTGGTGTAGGGAAACCGTAGGAAGACCAACCAAAATGTCGCGAGAACGCGCCTCTCTCAGCAGGATAAATCCGACGCACACTTCCAATAAATCGCTGCCGCTGCCTCTGTCGTCGCTGGCAGCGCCTTTGTACGCGCGCGGCCTCTCGCTGCGAGGGACTGTTAAGGTCCTTGCGTTCCTCGGGTCCTGGGGTCCTTCGTCGCTCACAGGTTAGCGAGCGTGCGACAAGGACGCGGGCGAAATTCCCGGGAAATCAGCGCGACCGCCGTCGCTTGTATTTATTTTATTTTTTTTGTGGATCCTGCTGCGATTCCTTGGCAATTTTCAGCGACAGGAGCCGCCGCAGCACGCGCAGATAGATCCTTCGGTTCCCGATCCCGTGGAATTTGCAAAAAAAAATTACCAGCTGAAAGACAGGTAGTAACTGTACCGTTCCACAGGAGCCACGGATAACCCTTTTTTTATTACCATTTTTGCAAAACTCCCCACACAAAAAAGACATACTCGAATATCTAGTCAAGATGGAAAAACAGAGAAATATATATGATATATATAGTACTCTAGATATTTTCAGGTAAGCCATCGAAGGACCTCGAACAGGTAATGCAACCGCGCAATCTTAATCCTTTGCTTATGAAAGTCAATCGCCCGGATTAACCAGCACGCCCCGCAAATATTTTGGCCGATTAGCCGCCGCCACCGGCCATAAAGTATTGGGCCAACACAACGAAAAAAATACCGCCCATCAAAGATATTTAGCTACCTGTTTTTAGCCAAAAATTCAACGGATTTCACTTTTTAGTGTGGACTTAAGAACGCCTCAAAAGCGAAGGGATTACAAATAAAGATCTGTTTGGAAAGAGCCTTTAAGTAAAATTAAATTAACTGTAAGAAATATTTAACTATCGAGGAGAAGTGCTTTTTTTCAATAAAATAAAGAAAGGTTATTAATGATACGTTTGATTTTAAATATAATAGATATTACTGAGACTGTGAATGATAAGAACAATATAAAGAGATTTAAAATAGTGGAGATCAATCTCAAAGAAAATTTAAATTAATCGATGAAGTTAAATTGAAAAGAATTTAAAATTAAATATATAAGAAATTAGTTTATCTAAAGATTGATTAAAATATTTTTAAAATTACTCAAAACCAACAATATTTTATTCATCAATAATATTTAATCGGTTACCATATATTATTTAGATGTTCCTAGTTAACTAAATGTATTCTTGAGATGTTTTTAAAATATTTGTAGTTATAATAGATCGATTTGCATATAATTGTTAAATAAAACTATCTATAAAAGTCAAAAACTATCTATATTTTCAAGATACTAGATATTTCTAAAGAGTCTAAACGACTTATCATAGAAATTTCAATTAAATTCCTATATGTTTCCAAAAATATTCTTAGATATCCCTTTAGATTCTAGAAAATCTTGAGATCCTAGAATATATTCAAAATAATCAATATTCTACATAGATCTTCATTCCCATAAAAAACGGTAACCCCTGTAATACACAAATATCCTGCTTATTTTCAAGAACCCTCTTCAGATATCTCTATAAATATGTTAATATAAAATACTTCACTTACCCCAATCACAACTGGAACTGGCTTCTTATAGAAACTGCGATCCATGAAAGATTAGAAAATTCTGAAATTTCCATTACCATCCTAATGATGATCTAGTATAAAATAGGTTCTATTATACCATCAACCCTCAATTACCATATTGATAGATCATTTGCATTGCACCAAAGATCCCTCCCTTTTGAGACAGAGAGAATGAGTAAGAGGGATAGCTGATCTCAAGGGTTGGGGGAGGTTCTCTCTCTCTTTTGAATTTTTTTATTTATGTTTTTGGAACCAACCGTTGGCGAGCAGATGGTAAAAACAGAATATATATATATATATACGATCACAGAGGGGTTGATTTATTAATAGAGTGAACGGCAGCCAAGCGTTAAGCGATCGTGCAAGAGAGAGAGAGAGTGAGGGAGAGACTATATACATATATAGAGGAAAGATCTTGGCTCCGCCTCTAGCTTGCTCTCTCTCACTCTCACTCTCTCCCTCTTTCTCTTTCTCCTGGTGGAGCTCTTCACTCACCTGCTTGCAAGGCAACACTAAAGCACAGATCCTGGATACCAAGGAGCACCTAAAGGACTAAACTGAACTGAACT